GGAAGAACCAGCCGAAGAACAGCAGAGTCGTGGTAGAAAGTTCGGAGATGGTATTAAAGTAGCTCAGTTTAAATGTATTGTATGAATTGCCCTTACTCTGGAATAAAAAATACTGAGCTACTTTAATACCATCTCCGAACTTTCTACCACGACTCTGCTGTTCTTCGGCTGGTTCTTCCCTGTATGCATTGATTGACAGATGTCTCGTCCAGTCAGCGGTGAGTAATCCCAAACCAATGGCACTGTCTCAAACTGTACCTACCTCTTCCGGTTTGACTGATTTGTAGTTGTGTTCTCTGACTTGTTAATTTGTTTTCGGATTTGTCTTGTGTTTTCTGACTTGTTATTTTGTTTTCGAATTTGTTTTTTAGACTTGCATTTGCATTTGTAATTTGTTCTTTTGTTTTCAGAATTGTGATTTGTTCTGCACTTCTCGGTCACCGTATGGCCACCCTTTAAAAAGATTCAAAATTCACTTTCGACTGAGGTAACCATAGCAACGGAACGTTAAGCGAGCGCTATGTTCAGTTCAGGAAAACTAATCCCAAATTCAAATCACATAAAACGTTAGCGTATTGTTAGAAACGTAGCCTATTTAAGGTTCTAAGTGCGCGTCGAAATATCGCGCCATCAATATTATTCATTTTGATGTTTGTTTGTATCTATCAAATTAAATACATGTTCCAGAATATAGCCTGCACATGTATGTTAATAGGCTCAGAAAGACCACCATATCAGGAATGACCCTCCTGGCGTGCGTTTGTTTCTGCCCTAATGACCATGAATTTACTTCCACTTGTTAAGACGGTATAATGCCATTAAGATTTCCAAAATACATTAAAGACATTGAAAAAAAAAAATTGGCAATAACGTTCATTTTTATCCAGAAACTGATTTGCATTTATATAATATACAATTATTATATTAACATACAATTATTTTAATGAAGATTTCATGACATTACTAATTGGCCTATGATGTCGGCCTAATTCTACATAAATTGAATGGCTCTTCGTGAATGTTATTCTTTTCAGTGTTATTGAATGCAAATATTTTTCACCTATACTCACGGCTAAATCCTGTTTTTTTCAGCTGCTCTTTCACCGTTCTCCGTGACACGACGGATCGGTCATCCGTACCAGAACCGAACTCCGCCGAAACGGAAAAAGCCCCGCACGTCGTTCAGCCGCGTGCAGATCTGCGAGCTGGAGAAACGCTTCCACCGGCAGAAGTACCTGGCGTCCGCGGAGCGAGCCACGCTCGCCAAGGCCTTGAAGATGACAGATGCTCAGGTCAAAACCTGGTTTCAAAACAGAAGAACAAAATGGAGGCGAGTGAAAATATGTTCGATTTAAAATAGATTATTTTTAAACACTACCTCTCGTCCAAGAATAGAAAATAATAGCTATTTAGCAGTAGTTTCATAGTTGTGTTCACCATACAGCTTTAAAATCCTGTTGTAACTTATATTCATTATTTCGATTACATCTGAATCCAAGGCTTTCAAATGATTTTTGTTGTCAATATCTGATTATATATAATTCCCTAAAGCAGCTAATTTAGTCAGAACTGAGCTTAAGTGAAAAGGGCATTTAGGGCCTAGTGGAAAAATAGTCTACTACTGTACATTTGCAGAAGTTTGCGTTTTATTTGTTTATTTATTTTACATTGGACACCAATTGCCTTGACCAAGCAGAAACGTTCAAGCTCTTAAAAGGCTGTGTGGAAACTTGCTGTCCATGCAGTACTGAACCTATACTTCTGAATAATTGAGAGCATGTCCATCCTTTCCCCAGAATCTACTCAACCTTTTGCTGTTGGCTCTTTTGGAGCAAATAAGTGCCCAATCTAATTAAGAGCAGGCTTACTTACCTTTGGTTTTACCAACAGGCTGCAATAGGCAGATGAGAGCTGGCTGAAGGTGATTCATTTATAATGAAGCTGAGTCATGGCCTTTAACAAATAAAAATGTATTATGGTTGTTTCAGTATGCCTACTCATCAATATTTATGGTGCTCAACTTAATTCAGCAATTATCTGTATCTGCTGAAAGCTGCTGGGAAACATTCATTAGCGCGGTCACTTTTGCTTTTAGATGGCCTCTTGGGAATGAAATTCTGGTAAATCTTACCTCACAACTGGATACCAACCAAACCTGAATATCAATAGCAACACTGAAAACCGTTTATTTCAGAATGAATTCAGATGTCATGAATGCATGAAATCATACATCCTAATGACTTCGTCCTCCATGACAAAATCTGTCCGCCATGAGGGTCTCCATACCTGCCGCCTGGCGTCCATTAGCCACACATCACAGCTAAATGCATCACTGTAATGTGATTGCACTTGGCTCATTTGATCACAGGCTTGTTACCTGTACGATCGACACGCAAATACATCCTTCATTCTCAAAGTGTCTCTAGACTACAGTCGAAAATTTTACATCACAACAAACCTGGAAAACCTGGAGTGAAAGGCACACAGTTTCTGTTTACATTTTCCATGCTGTCAGTGATCATTGAACCATTTATCATTTTAAATGTGATAACATACTAAAATAGGTAAATGGTAATTCTTTAATTTATTTCAAGAAAAAAATAAGTCAATACACATTTGCATTTGAATTACAAATTACCCTAATAAGCATCTCAAAAAATGTGGGGAAAAAAATATTTGTAAAAATTATTTTGGTGGTGCAAAAAAATAAGTAAAATAAAATAAATTCATTCATGTTACCTGACATAAATGTTTTAATTTGCCTGTTTGTTGTTACTCTTATGTTTCGAAATGATTTGTTTTCTGTCTAGCTGTGCCTTCTAACCTTGAAAAGGGGATAACAAATCAACTTTTTTTTTTTCATTCAAACTGAACAAACTTGTGGTAAATTTGACGTTAAAGGGACAGTTCACCCAAACATTTAAATTCTGTCTTTGCTTTGTCTTCATACAGTTTTTTGTCCATACAATGAAAATCACGCTGACAAATGACACAAGGTTGAGTAAATGATGATAAAATGTTCATTTTTGAGTGAACTATCCCTTTAAGTTAATGTAGCTGGTAGAAGGATTAATTATATTTGATATATCAAAGTACATATCAGGTCCCCGGACCAATAAAATAGCGTTTATTCATTGTTTTGTCGTGTACTATCATATAATAATACCCACATCTTTACGCTGACAGCTCCAATAGGCTCCTCATGTGCACATTCAAGGCGTTATTAAATGTACAGAACCATTAACATTCATGCGTTTCATTCAAAATGACTTTAGTCACACACACATTGTTATTTTTCCACAAAGGCATGACATGTCTTTTGTGTATGCGGAGAGCTCAGATCTCTCAAGGTAATTAAAACCAGCCTAGGACCTGCACCAGATAAACATGTTAGTTGACATAATCCGCTTTTGTATTTGAAAAGGGTCTCTGTCACTGCACATCATGTTGACTTCAATCATGCGTCTCTGATGACAGGAGGCAGACCGCTGAGGAGAGAGAGGCTGAGCGACAGCAAGCCAACCGTCTAATGCTGCAGCTCCAACAGGAGGCCTTTCAGAAGACCCTGAGTCAGCCGCACCAACAAGACCCTCTCTGCCTACACAACTCCTCGCTTTACGCCCTGCAGAACTTACAGCCTTGGGCAGAAGAAAACAAGGTGACGTCCGTCACCTCAGTCGCATCTGTGGTCTGACCCACAACTCTCATGTGTGCTAGTTAATTGAGAAAGGATTTTATAGGACGCCAGTTAGAACGTAATTTAGGCGGATCTCTGACATTCTCACTTGGACTCACTTCATGAGCATCTGTACCAAGCCATACGTTTTTTTTCTGTGAGATGGTAGAAGAGATCTAGCTGTGCAAAAACACCTTTTCCACTCATATATGGAAAGATTCTATTCAAATTCGACGATTTTTGACAGGATCAGCTTAGAGTCTGTGATAAAAACTGCTAGATAAACCCACTAACAAACTGAACTGTATTTTTCTGTATTTGTTTATCATTTTTCAGAAACATGCATATTTAAGTCTAGGCATGGAACAAAAAGCCCAATTAAAGTGGAATCAAAACAAACACAAGCACACCAAGTTCACATTTTCATTCCCACCTGAATCTGACTGGTCATTTGCTCGTCCCTTACGCTACATTCTCGTTCCTCTTTCTTCAGCTACCCATCTAAGAGAAGGAGGGGCTTTGTCCTTTCCAACCCAAAACCGCAAAGCTGTCTGATGAATTTCACCCATCAAGACGACTGTTTGTCTACGTGCCATTTGGCATCAAGGAGACTGACTCAACCCCAGACTCGTTCATTCTTGTTCTTTTTATTTGTGTTTTTTTTTCCCTTTGGACTTTGTAAGATGTGTTTGTGATGCATGTTCTCTACATTTCCTGTATGAAGAGATGGACTAAAAACTATTAGTTCTGTCAAGCTGGAGTCCTTCCTAAAACGCACTTTGGAAGCAATTATGGAGGCGCTCTCTATGGATTCTTCATGACGTGACGTTTAAAGGTGTTTTATATTAAAAAGAATTGTGACTTCTAAGCCTTCCGTTTCATCCTGTGTAAAATTCATTTAGAATACTATAAATGGTGGAATGTGCCATTTTTGCACAACTACCGAATATAGAACAGCAGAAATAATGCTATTCCTAACACTCTTAAAAATAAAGGCTCTTTATTGGCATTGATAGTTCCATGTGAGAACCTTTAAATCTATGAAATCTTTCCATTGCATTTATAGTGGAAAACGGTTCTTTAGATTTGAAATGGTTGAGAACTATTCATTGAATGGTTCTTTGAGGAACCACAAAAGGTTCTTCTTTGACATTACACCCCGTTTGAACCTTTATTTTTACGAGTTTAAACTCATTCAATTGGTTGAGCCAATATTGGGCTGATTGGGATGCTAAAACAGAACAACGTTTTGATAGTACCACCACCATTTTTCAGGGAAATCAAACAACAAATGGCTTATTTTAACATTGATAAAAACATGCCACTTTGAATTTTACTACTACCTATATTCAGCCCAAATCATCAGTCATTGTCAACTTGTAAAAAGCAGCTGGTGAGAACCTGTTAGTACAGTTTGTATACAAAAAACAAGTCCTTGACAAGTATTTTGAAAGCATTCATCACCCATGTCCACCCAGACACCGTAAGGGCGTAAACAACTGATGGGATCTCTGTGAGCCAAGACGGCAGTCAAAACAGCAGTTTCCTCATTGGTTACCACAGTAGAGTGATACCCACGTAACACGGAGGGGATGTGGAATCATAGCAGTTTTATTCGCAGCAAATGATCCTTTACTTTCTGTTCTACACACGACTGCATCTCCCAGGAAATGCTAAAGAGCTAAACTGATTACAGCGCTCTACAGCCTGTGGCTTACAGAAAAGAACCAGCAGTTGCACAAACCACAGGCAGGGAACATAGCTGGAAAACAAGCATATTTCAACGGGAACAATAATTCTGCTGGATTTGTGTGATTGGCCTGTTTTAAAATTCATTTTCCAATTTTGCTCTCAGGCAAGCGAATTAAACATATTAACAACTTGCAAACTGTTTCTGAAGTTGAAGACATTCAAATAACACATTATGAATAGATTTTTTATAAAATGTTTTATTTTTCAGGTAACCTAAAAATGCATTTTGTGTTGTGACATCCAAATGAACTACTTGTATTTAAGTCAAAAATATAATTTAATATGATTGAATGAATCTGACCAAATCAGGTTGCTTAATTTTAAGAGTGTTGGTGTGCTTCAAATAGACTGTATTGACGTTATTTTTTATCTTTAAACAGATGCAGTGATGGCTATCTATGTGTCTAATCCCTCAAGCCCTCCAAAAGCATTGTATTTCTTTTTATCAATAAAAGAATGGAGTACTATGGGACACTCACTATACAATTTAATGTAACATAATAAAGCTTTTTCATAGCATCTGTGGAACAATCTCTACCAAATGTCGGGCCATCAAGAGTGTCACCACAGCAAAGCAACACACAACGCATCTGATATACCTGTAGTTGTTTTACTGACGGATCTAAATGGCTGATCTGCTCATCTGCATTTGGGAAAATCAGTTATGGTTTTCTTCCAGAAAGAGATACAGGTCTGGGAAAACATTTCTGTGAAAGCGAGAAGTTAGGAAAATATTTGAGAACTGAAATCGTCATTACTAATAAAGTATGAAAGACAGGCCTATGAACTCCGTAAAGCCTGCCATATGAAATAATAATCAGAATAGTCAAATTTTTTGCAATGGAACATTTAAGTGAGAATGTTTAAGTACTACTCACACACACACATGGATATATATATATATAGATATAATATAAAGTATGGATAATCAAGTAAACCCATGGTGTTTCAGTCCAGTAAATGATTATCTTGAAATATTAATAACAATATACATTTCAGTAAAGATTTGAGAAAAAAACCCCACATTAAACACATTACATGTATAAATTGTCAATCAGACAACAGAAGGTGTGCAGTGGATTCTGTGCAACAGGTTTTTCAGCAAAGTTTTTATTCTGTTGATAATTTAGAGGTTTCATATAGGCCTACATCTCAATAAATTAGAATGTCGTGGAAAAGTTCATTTATTTCACAAACTCTTAATATTAAACAGCTTGTCAGTGTACAACCAGTTTTCTGTTGGTAAATACCCCATACTAAAGATGTTTATTAAGTCTGCACCCTCCTTTAGTGGATTTATGAGAAATAATTGTTTATGTGAATATTAAGCAAAGTGTTGACAGGACCCAGCGACTATAGAAGAGCTCTGTAAAACCGTGAGATCCGACAGGCATGCATGTGTTTTGAGGTGTGTAATCGGACCGGCATGTCTTTATGTATATACGGGTCACTCATGTTAAAGTGCTGCCTGTTTGAACTGTTTTCTTTCAAGATGGCTGTTTACACCGGGAGCCTTCATGAAGGGTGGAAGCGATTAACTTCGTCCTTTTTTATGGCTGTCACCTCTTAACAAAGCAAAAAGCTTTGTTCTCGTGAATGAGAAATCAAGTAAATCCTCTGAAGAGTTTAATAAATAGTCGAGAAGCGACACGGCCTAGTGAACTACGAGGCGCCTTCACGAATCTTTTGCTGTTTCGAATCAATGCAAAACATCTAGTTGTAGCTGATCTCAAATCAGCTTTATAATCTATGTTAATAAAAATTAAGTAGAATTTTGTTACTATTAATTACTATTAATAAAGTATCTTTAATGGAACTTGCTACTAATATAGCAACTGACCAATTTTTGAATGTATGTTCATAAAAATTGAGTAGAATATTCTATAAAGGTCTTAACATTTTGTTTGTTAGTGTTTTTCAAGCTTGCTACAAAATTACTACACATTACAAAAACAAATTTATCTTTATTCATATACTGCTAATATAGTTTATACTAACAAGTCTTTTGCAGAACAAAAAAAAAACATTGGGAAGACAATAATTGTATTGGCATTTCAATTTTAACAATGATTTTAATAATAATACAAATAAATTCTTCTTCTTTTGTTATTGGGATGGATGTCAAGTTGCATTAAATCATCACAATAAAGCATTCGGCTCATTATATTAATATTATTTTTTGGGGGGGGGGAAGACTACAGAGGACAAGCTGTTTGGAGAATGTATTGATGGATGAACAGAGGCAAGCGTACTGAATAGTTATTATATGGCGTTATCTAGCGGATAAATTGGGTACTGAAAGCAAGAAAATGCAAACAAAGAGCAGTTTACTTTACCACCAAGGTCGAATGCTATTGGACAACTGGTTCAAAAGCCCGCCCACTGTGCACTCTCATTCGTCCATTCAAGTGTCAATCCACACGCCGGAACTACGATTAACAGGACCGTCTGTGGCGCAAAAATGGAGGATAACATTAAAGATCTCAGCCGACCTCAGATGTATTTATTTGGTGAGCTGAAAAAAAATCTCATGTTGCATAATCATATATATATAAATATATATATATATATATATATGCGATAATTAGTATTATGCATTCATATGACATGCGTCTGCTGCGGTATTGCAGTTCAATAAAAGAGTTGTGGCTAATGCAGCTACTAGCCTCATGCATTGAGTTTGCCTTTGTTTATAGCCTAATGTTGATGTGAGCTCAAATGTTATTTTCTTTTTTATTTAAAAAATATTCTGAATAAGAGGAGTAGGAGTATTTATTTCCCCCCTTTATTTATTATGATCTCGTGCCTACAGCCTTCATAAAGGATGTTGTTTGTAAAAATGTAAATTTTAGGGGAAAATACATCCACGCAATACATCCATGGCTTCTTCCTACAGGTTGCTCGTTGAAAGCTGATAAGAAGGAGCACAAAGTTGAGTTGGATGATGATGAGGCTGAACATCAGCTGTCACTCAAGGCGGTGAGGAAGATGAAATAATGAAATGTCATTAAATGAGTCACTATCACAGATATTCAGTTCTGCATGGAATAGTTGAATCAGTCCTACCTTAAAGATAAACGCAGAAGTTGTGAAGTGCAATCATAAAATGAATGAAGATTGTATTCTTACCTAATCTATTTTATTTGATTTGTCCTGTATATTTGCCCTTTTCTGTAGCACTTTAAAAATAATATTCTTTCTTGTCCTCTATAGTTCTATTCTATTCTGTTCTTTTTCATATATGTGACCACAAAACCAGTCATACGGGTATTTTATACATATAAATTATATACATAATGAAAATCTGAATAAATAAGCTGTCCATTGATGTATGGTTTGTTAGGATTGGACAATATTTGGCTGAGATACAACTATTTGAAAATCTGGAATCTGAGGGTGCAAAAAAATCAAAATGCTGAGAAAATCGTCTTTAAAGTTGTCGATTTGATTTGTCCTGTATATTTGCCCTTTTCTGTAGCACTTTAAAAATAATATTCTTTCTTGTCCTCTATAGTTCTATTCTATTTTGTTCTTTTTCATATATGTGACCACAAAACCAGTCATACGGGTATTTTATACATATAAATTATATACATAATGAAAATCTGAATAAATAAGCTGTCCATTGATGTATGGTTTGTTAGGATTGGACAATATTTGGCTGAGATACAACTATTTGAAAATCTGGAATCTGAGGGTGCAAAAAAATCAAAATGCTGAGAAAATCGTCTTTAAAGTTGTCCAAATGAAGTTCTTTGCGATGCATATTACTAATCAAAAATTAAGTTTTGATATATTTCCGGTAGGAAATTTACAAAATATCTTCATGGAACATGATCTTTACTTAATATCCTAATGAGTTTTTGGCATAAAAGAAAAATCGATCATTTTGACCCAGACAATGTTTTTTTTGATTATTGCTAAAAGAATACCCCAGCGACTTAAGACTGGTTTTGTGGTCCAGGGTCACATATGATATTAAACCCCAATTAATCCTT